AGCGATCCCAAATTCCGCCTCCAGCAGGAAGATCCCGGCGGCTCTGAGGTAGTTCCAGGTGTGTGATCCCAGCTGGAAGCGCTTCCCAAAAAAATAAACCAGGAAAAAATCCAGGAGGGAAGAGCTTCAGGATGGTTCCGGGATCTCATCCGCCAGAAAAAGTGGGAAAAATCCAAATAAAGCGCGGAGAAAAGCCGGGTTAGGGAATGGGGTTCTCCTCCCTGTGGGAATTCCCACGGGAATTCCAGCAGGGATTGGCTTTTCCAAACCATTCCGAGGTGGATCCGCGTGGAAAAATCCGAGCAGGCTCCGGCACCGCCGTTCCCGGAGCGGATCCAGAACCCAATCCTGGCCAAAATCCCGGGAAAAGCTCCCGGGGTGCTGGATCCGCCCGTGCCCTCCCTCCCGAGCCAAGGATTTCCCGGGATCCCGAGGTTCCATCGGACACAACAAACGGAGACAGGAAAATGGAATTGGGAAAGGGCCCGGAGATAAATCCAAAATAAAGGGGAAACAAGAACTCCACAATTTTCCAAAATTCCGCTTTTCCCCGAATTCCGTGGCACCGAGGGAGCCGATGGAGGGTCCTGTGGGGCTGGGAATTTCCCCTGGATTTTCCGTTCCCGTCTGGATCCGTCTCATTCCCATTTTCCTGCTGTTTTTTGGGAATTTTCCTCATTTTTCCATTTCCATCTGGATCCGTCTCATTCCCATTTTCCTGCTGTTTTTTTGGGAATTTTTCCTGGTTTTTCCATTCCAGTCTGGATCCGTCTCATTCCCATTTTCCTGCTGTTTTTTGGGAATTTTTCCTGGTTTTTCCATTCCAGTCTGGATCCGTCTCATTCCCATTTTCCTGCTTTTCCCAATTTTCCAGCTTTTTCCAGAGAAAAGCGGGAGATGCTCCGAGCTCTCTTCCTTCTCTCTTGGACAGAAATGAAATTTCCCTCCGGGAATTCCCGCTCGGAATTCCGACCGGCCCCGGGAATGGGAAAAGCACCAAAGATTCCCGGAATTTTGGGGATTTTGGGGCAGATCTTCCCAGAGATCGCAGAGCTGGGATTTGGGAACGGCTCTTCCCGGTTTTTAGTATTCCAAAGCGTCTTTCCCTGGCAAAAATTCCAAGGAAAAGCGGGAAAGGCCCCCGGGGGACGGGAGCTGCCGAGCCCAAATCCGGCTCCTTTCACCCCAAATTTTTGGGAATAAAAACTCAGCGCTCCCCCCGCCAAGAGGGGATCCCACATCCCCAATCCCAAATATTTGGGATGGGGAAGTCGTGGATGAGGGATGGGGGGAACAGCACCAAAATTGGCTCGTTCGGGTTGTTTTGGGATATTTTTTGTTGAAAGTTTCATCCAAAAATTGGATTTTCCTGCAGGGCCAAAGCAATGGGAAAAACGGGATTGTACAAAAAAAAAAAAAAGGGATTTTACCAAGGAAAATTGGGATTTGACCCAGGAAAATTGGGGTTTTACCAAGGAAAATTGGGATTTTACCCAGGAAATTGGGGTTTTACCCAGGAAATTGGGATTTTACCCAGAAAATTGGGATTTGACCCAGAAAAACTGGGATTTTACCAAGGAAAATTGGGGTTTTACTGAAGAAAATTGGGATTTTACCAAGGAAAATTGGGGTTCTACCAAGGAAAATTGGGATTTGACCCAAAAAATGGATTTCATCAGGAAAAAAGGGGTTTTGTCATGACGAATAAGGGATTTCACCAGGAACAATCACCCTGTGGAGGTTCTGGAGCAGGGAAAGCCGATCCCTGCCCGTGCCCGGCTCAGGAATTCTCCTCTCCCTCCTCCCTGTGCGTTTGTAGGGAATAAAAATCAGCTCCTGCTTAATGAAGGAATTCATTAATTAACTTCTCTCCCTCCTCCTCCATTTTTTAAAATGATTTTTAATATTTTTAAGCTTTTTTTTACTTTTTTTAAATTATTTTTCCTTTTTTTAAATAGATTTTCCATTTTTAAAATTACTTTTTTCCTTTCTTCTAGATTATTTTTTTCCTTTTTAAAATTATTTTTCATTTTTTAAAATTATCTTCCCTTTTTTTAAATCATTTTTTTAATTAACGTCCTTAATTCATTTTCTTTAATTAATGTCTTCCTTTAATTATTTTTTTTTTCCCCTCGGTAAAATGGAGGCAAAAAAAAAAAAATCTCTTTTAAAATAAATTTTTTTTTTTTTTGATTTTTACATTTTTTATTTTAAATTTCACAGCACCATAGTGGAGAAGATGGATCGAGACCAACCCCTGGAATTCCAGGAAGGTCGGGATCGCCTTGGGATTCTGGGATCTTTAGGAATTTTCTATCAAATATAGAAAAAAATCTCTTTATGGCTTCTGAGAGTGTGAAAATAAAACCAGCACAAAAAACCCTTTTTTTACCCCACTTTGCATAGAAAACGCTGCCCAGGAGTGGAAAAATTCCCAAAAAATCCTCAGATTTGGCTGAATCCGATTGGGAAAATCCTTTCAGCCAGCGCCGGGTTCGGGTTTGGGTTTTACCCCTTGAAATTCCCGGAAAAAAAATCAAAAATTAAAATTAAAAAAAAAAAAAAAGAAAAAAAATTCAAGTTTTTCCCACTGGGAAAACCAAATTTGGAATTTTCCCGGATTTTTTTTTTTTTTTGGAGAGCGACGATGCCTGAGAGCTGAAATTCCTCAGCTGGGAAAGGGCACAAAAATTCCATAAAAAGATTAAAAATCTCCAAACGAAGGAAGCTGCTGCCATCTTTTCCACTAGGTCCAGAACTCCCGGCGTTCTCTGCAGAACGCCCGGATTCTTCCATAAAAAAATTCCAAAAAAATTATCTTTTTTTTTCTCTTTTTCATTAAAAAAATAAAATCTTCCCCGTTAGCACCTCTTATATAAAATATCAGCGAAAAGCCCCCAAAAAAACCCAAAATAAAGTGAAAACAACCCAAAAAAATCAGAATATTCCATAGCTGAGGTAATCACACCTGAGGTAGCTTTTTTTTTGAGCTTTTTTTGTGGTTTTTTGTCATTCCCGGGGGTTTTTTTTGCCCTGGATCGGCAGAATTCCAGGGAATTCCCTCTGCCGCCTTCCCTTCCCTAAATCTGCTTTTCCTGCTGTTCCAGGAGGGGTTTTGGAGGATTTTCCCCCAAAATTCCTGCTGGGAAGGGCTGGGCTCCGTTGAATCGACGGCAAAAGCGTCAGGGCCGGGTTTGTCCCGAATTCCCGATTTTTAGACTCATCCCAATTTTCCTCCCATCACTCCTGGCCCTCAAAATCCGCCCCAATTTCCATTTTTTTATCCCAAATTCCCACTTTTTCACCTCGCTTGGGAGCCCTTCCATCCTCTTCCTCCCTCCAAATTCATCCCAATTTTACTTTTTTTCACATTTTTCACATCCCAGCTTTTCCTTGGCCATTCCTGTCCCTCCAAACTCAGCCCAAATTTCCCCTTTTTCTCCCAAATTCCCATTTTTTTCTTGGGGTCGCTCCCAGCTTTTCCTTCACCCCTCCAATCCCATCCCAATTTTCCTTTCCCGCCCTCCCCTTCCCATTTTGGGGGAAAACCCTGGAAAATCCCCGACTTTGGGGCTGGAATTGCCGGAGCCCAGCCCTTGGTGGGAGGTGGCGGCTTCGGACCCTTCCCAAAATATTCCCAAAATCCCAAATCCTTTCAACCCCCCGGAGTGCCGGGAATCAGCGCCCGCTGGCTTTTCTGAAATCCGCGTTTTTCTCTCTTGGGAACGGGGATTTTCCTGCGGAAATGAGGAATTTGGGGGATTTGGGAATGAGGAGCGCCAGATTTCAGTGGATTCAGAATTCCTGGGGGGATTTTCCTGCTCTTTCCAGCTCCTCCCAAAACCTCCTGCACGGAATTCCCAAATTCTGATGGTGGGGATGAGGAATTCCGTGGGGGTTTTTTTGGGGATGTGATTCCCAATGGAATTCCCAATCCTGCTGGGGGACGAAATTTCCAATCCCTGTGGAGGTGATTCCCAGTCCCTGCGGACTCCTGATCCCTGTGGATTCCCAATCCCTGCACATTCCCAATCCCTGTCTGTTCCCGATCCCCGTCCATTCCCAATCCCCGTCCATTCCCGATCCCTGCACGTTCCCGATCCCTGTGGATTCCCGATCCCTGTCCATTCCCAATCCCTGCACATTCCCGATCCCTGTCCGTTCCCAATCCCTGCACATTCCCGATCCCTGCACATTCCCGATCCCTGCACATTCCCAATCCCTGTCCGTTCCCGATCCCTGTCCATTCCCGATCCCTGCACGTTCCCAATCCCTGTCCATTCCCAATCCCTGCACATTCCTGATCCCTGTCCGTTCCCAATCCCTGCACATTCCCGATCCCTGCCCATTCCCATTCCCTGTCCGTTCCCAATCCCTGCACATTCCCGATCCCCGTCCATTCCCGATCCCTGTCCGTTCCCGATCCCTGCACATTCCCGATCCCTGTCCGTTCCCGATCCCTGCACATTCCCGATCCCCGTCCGTTCCCGATCCCCGTCCGTTCCCGATCCCCGTCCGTTCCCGATCCCTGTCCGTTCCCGATCCCCATCCATTCCCATTCCCTGTCCGTTCCCGATCCCCGCTCCCCGTCCCCCTGCGGTTGCTGATTCCCAGGCACTCGGAGCCCGGCCTGGCCGTGCCGTGTCCTGGCTCTCCCGGGATCTGGGCTCCCTATTTCCTGCGGGACTGGCTCTGGCCGCCCTGGCCCTTCTGGTGCTGCTGCTTCACCTGCGCATCCCTGCACGTTCCTGATCCCCATGGACTCCCGATCCCTGTCCGTTCCCGATCCCCGTCCGTCCCCAATCCCTGTCCATTCCCGATCCCCGTCCGTTCCCGATCCCCGTCCGTTCCCGATCCCTGTCCGTTCCCGATCCCCATCCATTCCCATTCCCTGTCCGTTCCCGATCCCCGCTCCCCGTCTCCCTGCGGTTGCTGATTCCCAGGCACTCAGAGCCCGGCCTGGCCGTGCCGTGTCCTGGCTCTCCCGGGATCTGGGCTCCCTATTTCCTGCGGGACTGGCTCTGGCCGCCCTGGCCCTTCTGGTGCTGCTGCTTCACCTGCGCCAGGATGTCGCGGATCTTGCGCTGGGCCATCTGGGAACGACAGCCGGGGGTTCATGGATCGCCGCCGTCCCGCCCCGCCTGCTCCCAGCCCCATCCCAGCTTCCCGCTGGAACCCCTCTCATTCCAAACCTCCACCCTAATCCAGCTCCCGTCCAAGGCTCTCCTGTGGGTTTTTTCTGGGAATAACGGATGGGATTCATGGGATAACGACCAAAAATGTGCGGTCTGAGCATCACACTCCTGGAAAAACCTTGGAGAACCTCTGGAGGAGTCCAGGAGAACCCCTGGAGGACCCCTGGAAAAACCTTGGAGAACCCCTGGAGAACCTCTGGGGAAGTCCTGGAGAACCCCTGGACAACCTCTGGAGAACCTCTGGAAAACCTCTAGGGAAGTCCTGGAGGACCCGTGGAGAACCCCTGGAGCACCCCTGGAGAACCTCTGGAGAACCCCTGGAGAACTTTTGGATCACCCCTGGAGAACCCCTGGAGAACCCTGGAGAACCCCTGGAGAACCCTGGAGAACCCCTGGAGAACCTCTGGAGAACCCTGGAGAACCTCTGGAGCACCCTGGAGCACCTCTGGAGAACCTCTGGAGAACCCCTGGAGCACTCCTGGGTCACCCCTGGAGCACCCCGGGCCGCGCCGGCCGTACCTGGCTGGCGTAGAAGTGCCCGATGATCTTGACGATGACCTGCTCGTTCTCGTCCGGGGTCTGCTCCCGCGGCACCACCACCTCGGCCGCCGTCAGGTTCTGCAGCTCGTTCACCTGCGGGCGCACGCGGGATGAGCCCTGCGCAGCATCCCGGCCGCTCTCCCGGGAATTCCGGCCCCGCTCCCACTCACGGTCTTGCCGCCCTTGCCGATGACGCGGCCGGCGGCCGAGGCCGGCACGCGGATGTGCGTCTCCAGCTTCACCTCCTCCTTGGGCCCGAAGAAGTTCTCCTCCTTCAGCTTCCCGTAAATCCTGCCCTGCGCCTGCAGAGGGACGGAGCCGGGAATGTCCCACCCCAAATTCCATCCATGGATTTGGGATCCCATAAAATCCCGGTTTGTTGGAATTCTGAAACCGCTCAACCCCTGGGAGCAGGGAGCCGGGAATGTCCCACCCCAAACTCCATCCATGGATTTGGGATCCCATAAAATCCCGGTTCTTTGGAATTCTGAACCTGTTTGGCCCCTGGGAGCAGGGAGCCGGGAATGTCCCACCCCAAACTCCATCCATGGATTTGGGATCCCATAAAATCCCAGTTTGTTGGAATTCTGAACCCGCGCAGCCCCTGGGAGCAGGGAGCCGGGAATGTCCCACCCCAAGGTCCAACCCTGGATTTGGGATCCCATAAAACCCCAGTTCTTTGGAATTCCAAACCCGTTTGGCCCCTGGGAGCAGGGAGCCGGGAATGTCCCACCCCAAACTCCATCCCTGGATTTGGGATCCCATAAAACCCCAGTTCTTTGGAATTCTAACCCGGGCCCCCGTGAAACCCAACCCTGGAATTCCGCAGCTGTGGAATTCGGTTGGGGTCCCCCCCTGTCCCCTCGCCAGGGACACCCCGAGGTCCCCAAGGAGGTGACAGCGGTGACAACCTTGAACTGCGCCTCGGGCGGGCCGGTGATCACCACCATGCGCACTTTGGAGTCCGGCGTCTCCGGGGGCGCGATCTGCAACGGCACGGACACGGATGGACACGGCACGGACACGGATGGACACGGGACGGACACGGATGGACACGGGATGGATACAGGATGGACACGGGATGGACATGGATGGACATGGGACGGACATGGGATGGACATGGATGGACACGGGACGGACATGGGTGGACATGGATGGACATGGATGGACACGGGATGGACATGGGATGGATGGACATGGGATGGACTTGGATGGACACAGGATAGACATGGGTGGACATGGGATGGACACAGGATGGACATGGGATGGATGTGGATGGACACAGGATGGACATGGGATGGACACGGTACTACTGCCCTGCCCAGGTTTCCCAGGGCTATGGATGGATGGATACAGGATGGACACGGGATGGATGGATATGGATGGATGGACATGGGATGGACTTGGATGGACATGGGATGGACATGGGATGGACACGGTACTACTGCCCTGCCCAGGTTTCCCAGGGCTTTTCCCAAGAAATAAATAAAGGAAATAAATGAAGGAAATAAATGAAGGAAATAAAGAAAGGAAATAAATGCCAGGGCTTTTCCCAAGAAATAAATGAAGGAAATAAATAAAGGAAATAAATGAAGGAAACAAAGGACACTTGGGGACAGAGGCCCCCGAGGCCCCGAGGGCCAGGCCCACCTTGATGGAGGCGCTGGCGAAGCGCGAGAGCTGCTTGATGTGCTGGCCCTTCTTGCCGATGATGGCCCCGACCGCCTGCGCCGGGATGAACACGTGCACCGTCTCCTGCTCGGGGGGCTGCGGGCGGGTCGGGGGGGTCAGCCTTTGGGGCACGGTCACCCTTTGGGGCACGGTCACCCTTTGGGGCCGGGGTCACCCTTTGGGGGCACTGTCACCCTTTGGGGCCAGGGTCACCCTTTGGGGGCACGGTCACCCTTTGGGGCCGGGTCAGCCTTTGGGGGCACGGTCACCCTTTGGGGCACGGTCACCCTTTGGGGGCACTGTCACTATTTGTGGTCTCTGTCACCATTTAGGGTCACTGTGAGTATTTCAGGGTCAGGGTCACCATTTGGGGTCAGTGTCACCATTTGGGGTCAGTGTCATGTCCTGGAGCTGGGAGCAGGGGCTGCCGGGGGTCACTGCCCACCCCGGGGGTCACTGCCCACCCCGGGGGTCACTGCCCACCCCGGGGGTCACTGCCCACCCCGGGGGTCACTGCCCACCCCGGGGGTCCCACGGGACGCCCCCTGGCACGGGGTCACTCACCAGGAAGGAGCTGTAGGGAGCGGCCCTGTGTGGGGTCACTGTCACCATTTGGGGTCACTGTCATGTCCTGGAGCTGGGAGCAGGGGCTGCCGGGGGTCACTGCCCACCCCGGGGGTCACTGCCCGCCCCGGGGGTCACTGCCCACCCCGGGGGTCACTGCCCACCCCGGGGGTCCCACGGGACGCCCCCTGGCACGGGGTCACTCACCAGGAAGGAGCTGTAGGGAGCGGCCCCGGAGACGCCGCTCGGGGGCGGCGGCACCGCCGAGGAGGAGGCCGGGAAGAGCCCGACGGCCGCCAGGTTCAGCCCGGGAATGAGGTGGGACTGCAGCTGAGGGACCAAAATACGGGGTGTGGGGTTGGGGTTGAGCTGAGGGCCCAAAATACGGGGTGTGGGGTGGGGGTTGAGCTGAGGGACCAAAATACGGGGTGTGGGGTTGGGATTGAGGGAAACCAAAATATGGGATGTGGGGATTGGGATTGTAACCGAGGGAAACCAAAATATGGGATATTGGAGGATTGGGATTGTAACTGAGGTCAACCAAAATATGGGATGAGGGGATTGAACTGAGGCACGCCGGGGACGAGAGGGGCGCTGGTTTATGGGATCCCGCGGGCCGGCCCCACTCACGCTCATGGCGGCCACGTCGTTCTCGTAGGCCTCGCGCACTTTCTTCATGATCTCCTGCTCGGCGCGGCAGCAGCTCTCGGGACAGCCCTTGACCGTGATGGTGCGCTCGGGGTTGTACAGGGTCAGCTCCTGCAGCCTGGGGACAGCGGCCGTGGGGACACGGGGACACACCCGGGGCACCGAGAGCCAAAGGGGACGGGAAAGGGGAGCACGGGAAACCCAACACCAAGGATCCCCCAGAGAATCTGGGGACTAAAACTTCTCCCCCCGTCCTCCTCCTCCTCCTCCTCCTCCTCCTGCCCGTCCCCCCCGCGTGAGGAGCTCCTGCCCCGCTCCTTACGAGGAAATGGTGATTTTGGTCTCCGTGTCCTGCTCCACCTTCTTGAGGTTCCGGCCCTCTTTGCCGATCAGGCGCCCCACGAAGTTGTTGTGGGCCAGGATCTTCAGGGGGACCTCGTCAGCCCTGGGAACGGGAATGGGAACGGGGGGAAACCCCACAGGAGGGATTAGGGCAGCTGGGAAAGGAGGGAAAACCCAAAAGGAGGGATAACCCAAAAGGAGGGATTGTGAAACCTGGGAAAGGAGGGAAAACCCAAAAGGAGGGATTGTAGGATCTGGGAAAGGAAGGAAAACACAAAAGGGGGGAAAACCCAACAGGAGGGATTGTGGGATCTGGGAAAGGAGGGGGTGGCACGGAGGGCTGGAGGAAGCCCAAACCCCAAGGCTCAGAGCCCCCAAACCCAAAACTCCTGGGGCACAGGGCTGGGAGGAGCCTGGGGCGGGGCCTGCGGGGCTCTCACGTCTTGGTGTCCTTGGCCTCCTTGTGCATGATGTCCAGGATCATCCGGCAGGCGGCCGAGCAGCCCTCGGGCGTGGAGTGGATGCTGATGGCCTTCTCGGCCGCGCCCGCGTTCTCCTTGCGGTGCACGTCGATCCTGAAAACCGCGGGACGGGCGCTGGGAGAGGCCCCGGAGCCTCCCCGAAAGTCACGTCCCAGCAAGGGCAGGGGGAATTCTGTAGAAGCCCTGGAGAAACTCTGGAGAGCCCCTGGAGAACCTCTGGATCACCCCTGGAGAACCTCTGGAGATCCCCTGGCGAATCCTGAAGAAGCCCTGGAGAACCCCTGGACTACCCCTGGAGAAGTCCTGGAGAACCTCTGGAAAACTCTTGGATCATCCCTGGAAATCCCTGGAGAACCTCTGGACAACTTCTGCACCACCCCTGGAGAAGTCCTGGAGAACCTCCGGAAAACCTTTGGATCACCCCTGGAAATCCCTGGAGAACCCCTGGAGAACCTCTGGTGAAGCCCTGGGTCACCCCTGGGGAATCCCCTGGATCACCCTGGGAGAAATCCTGGAGAACCTCCAGAGAACTTCTGGAGAACTTCTGGAGAACCTCCGGAGAACTTCCGGAGAACTTCTGGAGAACCTCTGGAGAACTTCTGGAGAACTTCTGGAGAACCTCCGGAGAACTTCCGGAGAACTTCTGGAGAACCTCTGGAGGGGAGCCCGGCCGGGCCCCGCCGCGCGCCCCGGCCCCGCCGCGCCGCCCGTTCTCGGGCTGCTCGTCCGGGATGTAGGAGACCTTGAGCGCGTGGCTCTCCAGCTGGTGCCCGTTCAGCTTCAGGATGGCCCTGGGGACACGGGGGGCACGCGGCTGGGGCGCGGCGCTGGCACCACGGCGGCCCCAAAAGACACGGGGTTGTCCTAGGATGGGGTTTTTTGGGGGCGCTGGCACCAGGGCGGCCCCAAAAGAGCCAGGTTTGCCGTACGATGGGATTTCTTGGGGTGGTGGCACCAGGGCGGCCCCAAAAGACACAGGGTTTGTCCTAGGGTGGGTTTTGTGGGATGTTCAGGGCGGCCCCAAAAGAGACGGGGTTGCCACGGGATGGGATTTTTGGGGTGTTTGGGGCAGCCCCAAAGCAGCCGGGGTTGCCAGAGGAGGGGATTTTTGGGGTGCTGGGAGCAGGGCGGCCCCAAAAGACACGGGGTTACCACGGAGGGGATTTTTGGGATGTTCGGGGCAGCCCCAAAAGAGACGGGGGTTGTCCTAGGATGGGTTCTGTGGGATGTTCAGGGCAGCCCCAAAAGAGCCAGGGTTGCCAGAGGAGGGGATTTTTCGGATGTCTGAGACTACCCCAAAAGAATCGGGGTTTGCCATAGGATGTGGTTTTTTTGGGTGCTGGGAGCAGGGCGGCCCCAAAAGAGATGGGGTTGTCCTAGGATGGGTTTTGAGGGAAGAGGGGAAAGGGACGGCACCGACCCAGCGGGAATTGCCAAAACTCTCCCCTCCCTCCTGTGGGATGGAGTGGGCAAATCCCCACGGGATCCCAAATTCCCACAGATTCCCAAATCCCCACGGGATCCCAAATCCCCACAGAATCCCAAATCCCCGTGCATCCCAAATCCCCACAGATCCCAATTCCTCATGTGTTCCCAAATCCCCGCGTGTTCCCAAATCCCCACGAGATCCTAAATCCCCGCAGGTTCCCAAATCCCCGCGGGTTCCCAAATCCCCACAGGATCCCAAATCCCCGTGGATCCCAAATCCCCACAGATCCCAAATCCCCGCGTGTTCCCGAATTCCCGCGGGTTCCCAAATCCCCGCGTGTTCCCAAATCCCCCCGTGTTCCCAAATCCCCGCGCTCCGGGGCGCGGCGCTGCCGCTGTCGATGGATGGGGCTGGCAGCGAGCGCAGGGATTTGGGCTCCGCTCCCTTCCCGCATTCCCGGCTCCGGGAATCCGGCACCGGCTCGCTCCAGCAAACAAAACTCCCCGAACTCCCTCAAAAACCCCCAAAACTTTCCAGCCCTGGGGCTGGTCCGGCTGTGAGGGGCGCAGGGAGCGCTGCTGGGGGAGGGAAAAGCCGGGAATGGTCTCCAGGATCCCTCTGGAATTTTTCTCCCCATTTTTCGGGAGGCAGAATTCCCGAAATCATGGAAGCCCCTGGAAATCCCAACTTTTATCCAATCAAAAAGTTCAACTTTCACTCCCCGAGCTGCCAAAAAAACCCCAAAAACTTGGAATTCTGCCCAAAGGTGAAGGAAAATCGATCGGATTTAAGGGGCGTCCTCAAGGATCTGCTGGGATCTGGGGAATCCTTTTTCCGACAGGTGGGGAAGGGAGGGAATTCCCGAATTGCGGAATCGTTCCCGGATTCCCGGGGCACTCACTGCCGCGTCTGCTCCCGGCTGGCGTAGGTGACGTTCACCACGGCGGTCTCGCTCTCCGTGTTCACTGCGGGAATCCGGGAACAGGGACAGGATCAGGGAACGGAGCCGGGAATGGGGAATTCGGGAACAGGCAGGGATCAGGGAAAGGAGCCGGGAATGGGGAATTCGGGAACAGGAATCGGGAATTGGGGAACAGGCAGGGATCAGGGAAAGGAGCCGGGAATGGGGAAAGGGAATGGGGAATTCGGGAACAGGCAGGGATCAGGGAAAGGAGCCGGGAATGGGGAATTCGGGAACAGGCAGGGATCAGGGAAAAGGAGCTGGGAATGGGGAAAGGGAATTGGGAATTTGGGAGCGGGAATCGGGGAACAGGGACGAATTGGGAATTCGGGAACGGGAATGGGGAATTCGGGAACAGGCAGGGATCAGGGAAAGGAGCCGGGAATGGGGAAAGGGAATCGGGAATTGGGGAAAAGGAATCGGGAATTGGGGAACAGGCAGGGATCAGGGAACGGAGCCGGGAATGGGGAAAGGGAATCGGGAATTTGGGAACAGAGACAGGATCAGGTTTTTATTCCCTCCCCCCTTGGAAAGGGGCAGGAATTCCCCAAATCCAGGTTTTATTCGCCACAGAAATCCCCCAAATCCAGGTTTTATTTCTCCCTCTCCCTGAAACGGGATTAAATTCCCTGAAACGGGAATCCCAAAATCCGGATTAAACTCCCAAAATCTGGGGTTTGTGTCGTCTTCCTGAAATTCCAGAAATTTGGGGTTTATTCCCTTCTCCCTCTGAAACTGAGCAGGAATTCCTGAAATCTGGATTTTGTTTCCATCTCAGGAGCAGAAATTCCCAAAATCCGGGTGAAATTCCCCAAATCCGGGTGAAATCCCCCAAATCCCCTGCTCCTACCCTGCTCACAGCTCTCCACGGTGCCGTACTGGGCCAGCAGCCCGTCCAAAACCTGGGAGAAAATGGGGAAAAAGGGGAAAATCAATCCCGGGAATATAAAATATCCCGGGAAGCCCCGTCCGCGCCTCGGGGTCATTGGGATCGTTAAGAATCCCATCAGGATCATTAAGAATTCCCGAGTAATTAAGGCCGGGAAGGCCGGAGCCAGCGGGAGGGGAGAGCAGAGGCCGGGAATTCCCAGCGGGAAGCGAGGATCCGCTTTATGAATCACAAATTAACGGGAATTAACGGGAATTAACGGGAATCGCGGGGGCGGTGTCGCTTTCCCGGGATTTCCAGGGTCGCTCTGGGGTAATTAAGAGCCAATTAATGACGAAGAGGAGGGAAATCCAGCTTTGATCCCGATCCCTGCCTCACCTCCCAGCGCAGCTGCGGCGGAATGTTCCGGATCTGGATCTTCCGGCTCCTAAAAGGGGGAAAAAAATGGAATTTGGGCTGGGGCACATCCATGGAGCTGAGTCAGCCCCAAAATTCCGGGTGTTCCCGGGGAGTTCTGGTGGATCCCAGCTCCTTGTGGGGCTGGAATTGCACCGGGAGTGGAATTCCAGAATCCCGCTGGGAGCAGAATTCCAGAATCCCTCTGGGAGAAACATTCCAGAATCCCTCTGGGAGCAGAATTCCAGAATCCTTTCAGGAGCAGAATTCCATATTCCTCTGGGAAAAGAATTCCAGAATCCCTTTGGGAGCGGAATTCCAGAATTCCTCCAGGATCAGAATTCCAGAATCCCTCCTGAAGCAGAATTCCAGAATCCCTCTAGGAGGGAAAAAAATTCCAGAATCCTTCTGAAAGCAGAATTCCTCCAGGATCAGAATTCCAGAATCTCCCTGGGAGTGGAATTCCAGAATCTCTCTGAGAAAATAATTCCAGAATCCTGCTGGGAGTGGAATTCCAGAATCCTCCAGGATCAGAATTCCAGAATTCCTCCAGGATCAGAATTCCAGAATCCCTCTGGGAGGGAAAATTCCAGAATCCTTCTGAAAGCAGAATTCCTCCAGGATCAGAATTCCAGAATCCCTCCTGAAGCAGAATTCCAGAATCCCTCTAGGAGGGAAAAAAATTCCAGAATCCTTCTGAAAGCAGAATTCCTCCAGGATCAGAATTCCAGAATCTCCCTGGGAGTGGAATTCCAGAATCCCTCTGAGAGGGAAATTCCAGAATCTCATCAGGATCAGAATTCCAGAATCCCTCTGAGAGGGAAATTCCAGAATCCCTTTGGAAGAGGAATTCCAGAATCCCATGAGGATCAGATTTCCAGAATCCTTCTGGGAGGGAAAATTCCAGAATCCTCCAGGATCAGAATTCCAGAATCTCCCTGGGAGTGGAATTCCAGAATCCCTCCAGCACTGCTCGGATTCCCGGGGTGGATTTGGCTTTTCCCAGATTTGGGAAGGATCGGGAAGCCCAAAGGGAGAGGGAGGGATGAGGAGACGCCCTTTGGGATCATCGTTCCCAAATCCACGTTTGGATTGGGCTCCCAACCCCACCGGCTGCTCCCGAATTCGGCTCTTCCCGGTTCCCAGCCCCGCAGAGCCGGAACAATTCCATCAAAATTCCATCAAATCTGTCGGGATTCTCCTGCTCGGGGGTCCCAATCCGCTCCGGGGATTTGGGGCTCCTTCGGTCAATTTTGGGGAGATTTTTATGGGAACAGGAACCACGGGAGGATCCCGAAATTCCCCGGATGCACTCCTGGGAGAGAAAACACAAATCCCAGAAATTCCCACATCCGTAATTATCCAACACCCCCAACCCCCCCCGGGAGAGCCCGGCTGGGCGGGAGCAGGAATTCCAAGGAATATTTGGGATAGGGATGGAGAGCCCCGGAGAGAAGGGAAAATCCCAAATTTCCAACTGGAAATTTTTTTGGGAGTTTGGGATCCCTCAAGCTGGGAATTATTTGGATTGGTTAATTAGGATTGTTTAATTAGGATCGATTAATTAGGGTTATTGAACTGCAGGGAGGTCCCTGCACAGCCGGGGCTGATCCCGCGGCTCCGGAATTCTGCGGGAATCGAGGCAAAGCCGGAGCTCAGCTGGCGGAATTCCAGGAAAAACGCGGAGCTGGGACGGAGACCGGAGCCTCCCCGCGCCCCTCACCCACAAAATCCCGGAATTCCCAAAGCCTGGCAACCCCCGACTCCAGGAGTTTGGGATCCCTCAAGCTGGGAATTATTTGGATTGGTTAATTAGGATCAATTAATTAGGATTGATTAATTAGGGTTATTGAACTGCAGGGAGTTCCCTGCACAGCCGGGGCTGATCCCGCGGCTCCGGAATTCTGCGGGAATCGAGGCAAAGCCGGAGCTCAGCTGGCGGAATTCCAGGAAAAACGCGGAGCTGGGACGGAGACCGGAGCCTCCCCGCGCCCCTCACCCACAAAATCCCGGAATTCCCAAAGCCTGGAGCCCTAAAAGCAGCACTTCCCGAGGCAGCACGGAGGGAAAAGCGGGAATTCCTCTGGATCCCCTCCGGGGAGGGAGCAGGAGCCGGGAAGAGCCGGGAATTCCGTGGTGGATCCCAAATCCCCCCGGATTCCTGGGAATGCCAGAAGTCTGGGATTCCTGGGGTGTTTGGGCCCCGACGGGGGGGGAAACTGGGAGGGACTTTGGGAATGGGACATGAGGAATTCCCGATGGGAACGGGACAGCAGGAATTCCTGATGGGAACGGGACAGCAGGAATTCCCTGTGGGAATGGGACACGAAGAATTCCCGATGGAAAAGGGACACCAGGAATTCCCAGTTCCCAACAGGAACGGGACAGCAGGAATTCCGGACAGGAATGGGACACCAGGAATTTCTCCATTTCTCCAGAAAAAGAATTCCTTGAAATCAGTGGAATCCCCAAAAAAAGGCAGAAAATTCCCAAATCCCAGAGGCAGCCCCACTCCCCAATCCAGCAAACCTGGAAAAGAGGCGGAAAACCCCGGAAAAATCAGGGAAAACCCAAAAAAAGCTGGAAAAGGAGCGGGGATCCCTCATCCAACCAGAATTCTCCCCAGAATCCCTGGAAAAATCCCTGGAAGCGTCAGCAGCGCCGGGAGTTGGGGCTGGAAGGGGCAGAAATTCCCTTTTTTGGGAATCTTTCATTTAAATCCCAAAATTCCCAATTTCCAAAGGAGGAATTTTCCCCCATTCCCTCCCTGGATTTGTTTGGCCGAGCCTGAACCCAAATTCCAACAGAAATCCCCTTGGAAAACCGGGATCGACCCCGGGAATTCCCGCTGGAATTCCAGAAATTCGCTGATTTCTCCTTTTCTCCCCCAAATCCCTCCCCCGTGCCTTCAGAGTTCCCAATTTTCCCGGAAATTCCCATTTTTGGGGAGGCTTTTCCCACATTCCCCACAGGGAAAAAGGAAATAAAGGAATTTTCTCTCCCTGAGATCCGGAATTTGACGGAATTCCCAGAGTTTCCAACCTCGGGGGTGAAATTTAGGGAAAAATCATCAAAGATTCATTAATTTTTTTTTACTTTTTTTGGCTAAAAATCCTCAAAAACCTCAGAATTCCCAATTTTTTTTGGTTTCCGGAAGTGGGAATTTGGGAGCAGCTGGAAACTGGGAGCTCAAAGGAATAAAAGAATTTTAAATTTTTAATTTTTTCCCTTTTCTTCCTCCTCAAAATTTCAATTTTCCGGCTTTTTTTTGGTTGTCATTTCTTATTTAAACTCCCAACCCAGCCTCCTTTGAATGGAAAAATCAAGATTTTAAAATTGGATTAAAAGCAGAATTTTAGCCCCAAAATCCACCTGGGTTTTCATTTTCCATGGAAAAGAATTTTCCAATTTTTTTTACATTTTTGGGAGATTATTTGGTTCATTTTTGATCCCATTTCCAGCGAATCCAAACCCAAAAAGAAGGGGAAAAGCAAATTTTGGGGTGAAAAGTGACTAAAAAAGGAACCTCAACCCGGATTTGAATATTTTTCGTTGGGAACAATTAATTCCAGGATTTCCCCCGTGGAAAATGAGGATTTTTCTGAGGGGAATCCCCGGATTTGGAGGAAAACCCAAGGGAATTTTAGGATTTTTCCAGCATTTTTCTGAGCTTTGATGCCACTAAAATAATTTTAAATATTTCTTTTTATAATTAGAATTGAAATGAACGCCCTGAGCAGAACCCCAGGGGGAGCTGGGGGTGAAAAATCCCCTTTAATTCCCATTTTTGGGGTTTAAATCCATCCCAAATCCACCCCAACCCCAAAATCCCAACCCCAAAACCCGAATTTGGAATTTTTATTCCCTTAAAAAATAATTCCATTTAAAATAAGATTTAAAATTTCCCCTGGTGGCTCCAACGGGGAAGATTTTGGGGTCAGAAATTTCGAGTTTCTCCCCAGTTTTCCCATCAACAAAATCCCAGGAAAAACAATTCCCAAAATCCAACAAAATGCTCAAAATGGCCCCAGATTAACCCAAAATCTCATTTTCCTTCATAAAATCCCATTTTTAGCAATATTTCTTCACAATTTAAGACTTCGATGGAATTCTGCTCCAATAATTCCCCAAATAATGAAAATAAATGGGAGAATCCCAGGAATTAATCCCAAATAAATCAATTTATTCCTCTGGGAGCCACACACCCCAAATGCCTTTTTTTGGTGCTATTTTAACCCATTTTGGGGTTCAAAAAATAATTTTTGAATGTTTTGTTTTGGAGAAGTTTGAGGAATTTGGGAATAAACCGAGAGGAAAGAATTCCTTGGGGTTTTTTAGCATTAATTAATTAAAATCACCCAAATTAAGTTTTTTTACATCATTATTTCCTCTTTAACCTAAAGAAAAAACAATTTTGGGGTTTTTTTTCTGTTTTTATTTAAAAATAAATTAACTGGGAAGGGCAACCCCGCTCCTGACTCGTTTTCCCACATTTTTAAAGGGATCAAAAAGAGGGGAAAAAAAAATGAACCTCAGGTTTTGGGGGAGGGGAAAGGGGAGGAATTTCCCTTCGGATCCGGAAATTCTCCCCTCGTTAACCCTTTCCTGCCCCCCGCCCTCCCAGCTGGAAATTCCAGCCTGGAAAACTGAAAGGAGGATTCAAAAACCACAAAATTTCCCCCCAAAAATTCGTTTTTAAGGCAGCGTTTCCCTCTTTCCCCGGGCTCGGAGCAGCCAAAATCCCCCAAATCCCCCCCAAAATTCCATTTATGGCTCCCACGCCTCCCCGGGTCAAGGGGAATGCCCCAAAATCGCTTTTTCCACACCCAAAATCACCAAACCCCTCCCCAAAGGGTCCGGGACGCTCCCGAAATCCCCCAAATTTCCCCCAAAATCTCCCAGGAGGGCGAAGAGGAAAAAGCGGCGCTGGCCCTTTAAGAGCAGCCCCGGAGGGGGGGAGGGGGCGCGGATTTTAACCCCAAAAAACCCCAAAAAAAGCCCCAAAAAAACCCAAAACTGGGATTTTTCCAGCCCAATCCACGCGGTTTTAGGGACACCCGGGAGGAAAACAAATCCAAATCCCAAAAGATTTTAAAGGATTTTTTTTTCCCCCAACTTTTTCCCAGCTCTTTAAATCCCAGATCCCAAAGGAATATTCTCATTTTTAGGGAATTTTTTCAGGGGGAAAAAAGGGGGAAATCCGCTCCTCCCTCCCCAAGTTATTGATTATTCAAAGTGGGGGGTGGGAAATAGGATTTTCCAGGGGTTTTTAAGGGATTTTTTAAACTTTTCATGGAATTCCATCCCACTATTCCCCCATCCCTGGACACCGAAGCCACAGCAACAAAAACCATCAGGGAGGGGGGAAAAAAATTAATAAAAATTATAATTATGCCCCTAAAATCCGGGATTTAGGGCCGAGAAAACGGGGCTGGGGAATTCCCGGCTGGATTTGGGATCGGCCCCCTCCCAGTTTTGGGAATTTTGAGGGGAGGCCAAAGGGGGCGACCCCAAAACGGGGCAGGGAAGGGTCGGGAAAAGGAGGAATTTGGGAATTTGGGGTTGGGGTTTGGGGAGTTTGGGGCTGGGATTTTGGGAATTTGGGGTTGGGGTTTTGGGGAGTTTGGGGCTGGGATTTTGGGAATTTGGGGCCGGGATTTTGGGACATTTCAGAATGGGATTTTGGGATGTTTCAGGCTGGGATTTTGGGAATCTGGAGCCGGGATTTTGGGATGTTTCAGGCTGGGATTGTTTGGGGCTGGGATTTGGGGAATTTGGGGCTGGGATTTTGGGAATTTGGGGCTGGGATTTTGGGGAGTTTAGGGCAGGGATTTTGGGGAGTTTGGGGCTGGGATTTTGGGAATTTGGGAAATTTTGGGGTTGGGATTTGAGGGAGTTTGAGGCCGGGATTTTGGGACGTTTAGAGTTGGAATTTTGGGGAATTTGGGGCCGGGATTTTGGGGAGTTTAGGGCTGGGATTTGGGAATTTGGAGCCGGGATTTTGGGAATTTGGACCAGGATTTTGGGGAGTTTAGGGTTGGGATTTTGGGACGCTTAGGGTTGGAATGTTGGGAATTTGGGGCTGGGATTTGGGGATGTTTCGGGCTGGGATTTTGGGAATTTTCTGCTGGGATTTTGGGAATTTGGGGCCGGGATTTTGGGATGTTTCAGGCTGGGATTTTGGGAGTTTTCCGCTGGGATTTTGGGAATTTGGGGCCGGGAAGAGCCGGCGTCGCTCCCTCCCCTCTTTTGCCCCTTTGGAAAAGGCGCCTCCGTCACGTGGCGATGGATTTGGGTCCAAGGCGGAATCTTTGGGATCGGGAATTCCGGGAATTCCGCCGCTTCGGGGGGCGAAAATCCCACGGGAAAAGGGAGAATTTCTGGGGAAAATCCCAAATGCGGGGGGGCCCGGGGGGATTTGCGGGGAGGATTTTCCAGAGCGCTCCCGGCTCCAGCCGGGAACAACAAAGGCCGGGGAAGATGGAGAGGGGTGGGATGGGCTGGGCGGGAGAGGCACGTCCTGGGAAACCCCAAAAGCGCCGCTTTTCGCCCCAAAATCCCCGCAGTTCAGGCGGGATTTCATCCCTGCCCGCCCTCAGCGGCCACGTGCTGGTTTTGTTCTTTTTTTTTTTTTTTTTCCGCACTTTTTTAAATCGGATTTTTAAAAAATATTAATTTTTTAATATTTTTTTTAATTTTTCCTTCTCCCAAAACAAAGGATTTGCCCTCATTTCCCGGCCCAGGCGCCAAAAGGAGCCGGGAAATTCTTCCTCAAGTTTGGAAATCCCAGCCCAAAGCCATCCATCACCTTGGGCAGCGCCCGGAGAATTATTTATTTCACCTTTTTTCCCCCTTTTTGTTTTAATGAAAAACTCGCAGATTGAGTTTTCCTTGAAAAAAAAAATCAATTCATTCACGAAATGTTTAATGAATTAATTAAACTCAGCTCGCTGGGGGCAAATCCCAGCCCAAAACCTCTGACACTGCTTCATTTTTCACATTTTTGGGTGGAAATTTTTGCCTTTTTCCTCTCCTATTTTCCCCTCGCCAACACAAATTAATAGTTCCGATGGTAACGATTAAAAACCAATTAAAAACCAATTAAAAATCAATGAAAACTCCACCTTTACCTTTGCTTTTTGGGCACGGAGTGCTCGATCTCCAGCTGCTTCCCATGGAGCTCCACTTTCCCTGGAAACAAAACCCGGCTTGGAAAATCTGGCAGGAAAACTCGGGATAAAGGGGAATTTTCAGAATTTCCCCGCGGAATTCATCCCAAATTCTCCCGAATCCCACCCAAATCCTGCCCCGGCTCCCCGCGGGGGGGTTTTATGGAATGCGGGGGAGCGGCGCCTCTGGAATTGTTCCTTGGGAATTTTTCACCCCTCGCTCCAGCCCGGAAGGATCCCAGCCATGAGATTTGGGGTTTTTTTGGGGTGGATTTGGAGAATTCCCCCCTTTTCTTTCAGGCCTCCGGGAAAAGCCTTTGGAGGAAATTCCCTGCCCGTTTCCCACGGGAAGGTCGGGGTTCCACGGGAATGGATTTCTCCCGGAGAACGGAGCGCGATTCCCTCGCTGCGGGGTCGCTCCACGATCTTTAATTCGAATTTTTATTTAATTTTTTTTTTTGAACGGGGAATAACGAAAAAGAATCAGGCGGGGGAAGAACCCGGGCGGAAGGAGATGGAGAGGAGGGGGGGAAAAAAAAATTGAAAAAGCCTCAAAATTCCCGATTTGCTCCCAAATTCCCTCTGCTCCCAGCATGGCGACCTCGCCCCCGAGCGCGGCCCGGGCCGGACGGGCAAAGGCCGGGGGGGCTCGGGGGGACCGGTCCCCCCGAGGCGGGAGCGGCCCCCGCGCCGTAATTAACTCTTAACGAGGGCAGCGCTTAACGAGGCAGCGCTTAATGAGCGCGGCGCTTAATGAGCGCGGCTCGCTCCGCCCCCGCCCGCAGCCGGAGCGGGAAAATTGGGGGGAAAATCCTGGAAAACGGGAAAAATCCCCGGAAAAGCCTGAAAAAATGGGGGAAATTCCTTAAAAAATGGGGGAAAAATCCTGGAAAATGGGGGAGGAATCCTGGAAAATGGGGGTAAAAACGTCCTGGGAAATGGGAGGAAAATCCTGAAAAATGGGGGAAAAAATCCTGGAAAATGGGGGGAAAATCCTGAAAAAATGGGGTAAAAAAATCCTGGAAAATGGGGAGGAATCCTGAAAAATGGGGGGAAAAATCCTGAAAAAATGGGGTTAAAAAATCCTGAAAAATGGAGGGAAAAATCCTGGAAAATGGGGGGGGAAATCCTGGAAAATGTGGTAAAAAAAATCCTGGAAAATTGGGGGGGAAATCCTGAAAAAATGGGGGAAAAAATCCTGGAAAAATTGGAGAAAAAAATCCTGAAAAATGGGGGAGAAAATCCTGGAAAATCCTGAATAAATGGGGTAAAAAATCCTGGAAAATGGAGGGAAAATCCTGAAAAAATGGGGTCAAAAATCCTGGAAAAATTGGAGAAAAAAAATCCTGAAAAATGGGGGAGAAAATCCTGGAAAATCCTGAAAAAATGGGGTAAAAAATCCTGGAAAAATGGAGGGGAAATCCTGAAAAATGGGGGAAAACCATACTGGAAAATGGGGTTTAAAAGTCCTGAAAAAATAGGGGGGAAATTCTAAAAAAATTAGGAAAAATTCTTGAACAATGCGGAGGAAAAAATTCTTTTTAAAATGTGGACAAATCCCTAAAAAAATATAGAAAAATTCCTGGAAAATGTGGGAAGATTCCTAAAAATTGTGGAAAAAACTCTAAAAAATAGGGGGGAGAAATTGCTAAAATATGTGGGGGAAAAAACCTTAAAAATGTGGGAAAAGTCTTTAAAAACGTGGAAATTTTCTTCAAAGATGTGGAAAAATAAAAGTTTTAAAAATCCAGAAAAATATGGGAAAAATCTTAGAAAATTCCTAAAAATTGTGGGAAAATTCCTAAAAAATGTGGGAAAATTCCCAAGTGACCCCTGGAGGGTTGAGCTGGGGTCAGGCTGGTCCTGCGCCCACCCCCAAAAAATCCGGGAGGATTTTGGGGTTCCCTCAGTGCTGCCCCCATGGGACATGCTGAGTTCCACAGGGAATTTATTTTATTTTATTTTATTTTATTTTATTTTATTTCCCCTCAGCTGAGGGGGGAATTCCCCGCCCAATAAATCAATTTCACATCTCTCGGGACACCCAAAAATGCATTTTTCAACCCCAAAAAAGAGACGCAGCCGCGCCCCTCGCCCGGAGCTGCGCTCCAGGGAAAACTCATCCCAAGGAATTCCCAAAATCCCGGGAGACGCGGATTTGTGGGAAAGCGCCCCCGCCCCCACAGGCGGGCTGGAATCCCGGGAATTTTGGGGTTAATTCTGGGAAATTCGGGACCCCAGCGCTCCCAGCCTGGGGGGGCGTCCCTGGGAATTCCAGGGGGGGAAATTCCCGGGGGCTCCAAAAGGGAATTTTGAGCTTTTCTGGATGAGAAACTTAAAATTTAATTTTAAAAAAAAATCAAAATTCAAGTAAAAATTCCTCAAAATTCAAATTAAAAAACCTCAAAATTCCAATTAGAAAAATTAAAATTGAAATAAAAACATTGAAATTCAATTTAAAACACACAAAATTCAATAAAAAGCTCAAAATTCAATAAAAAATACAAAATTCAATTAAAAACCCCTCAACATTTAATGAAATCACCCCAGGGGCTCCCCCAAAAAAACAGAGGGGGGACAAAAATCCATTCCCAGCTCGGGATCCATCCCTGGTTCTGGAATTGTTGGGGTTGGGATTTGTGGATGAGGAGCAGAAGGCTGAGAAATGAGGGGGGAAAAAAAAGAGGAAAAAACACCCCAAAAATGGGAAAAAATAAAAAATGGGGGGAAAAAACACCCAAAAATGGGAAAAAATAAAAAATGGGGAAAAAAACACCCAAAAATGGGAAAAAATAAAAAATGGGGGGGGGAAACCACCCAAAAATGGGAAAAAATAAAAAATGGGGGGGGAAACTACCCAAAAATGGGAAAAAATAAAAAATGGGGGGGGAAACTACCCAAAAATGGGAAAAAAATTAAAAATGGGGGAAAAAACCACCCAAAAATGGGAAAAATAAAAAATGGGGGGAAAAACCACCCAAAAATGGGAAAAAATAAAAAATGGGGGGGGAAACCACCCAAAAATGGGAAAAAATTAAAAATGGGGGGAAAACCACCCAAAAAATGGGAAAAAAATAAAAAATGGGGGGGGAAAACTACCCAAAAATGGGAAAAAATAAAAAATGGGGGAAAAAAACCACACAAAAATGGGAAAAAATAAAAAATGGGGGAACACTCTAAAAATGGGGGGGTGGGAACCATTCACAAAATGGGAGGAAAAAATCCAAAAAATGAGAATTTCAGAGGAAGGAAGGAAGGAAGGAAGGAAGGAAGGAAGGAAGGAAGGAAAACTTTGCCCCGGGATTTGGGACAATTCCCGCTTTTCGGGGAATTCCTGCCATTCCCACCCGGGATATTTGGGAAATCCGGGAATTCTGCTGCTCCTTGCCCCGGAGCTGCCCCGGGAGCGGCTCCAGCTGGGAATTGCTCTCACCCCATTAACTCCCACCCTAATGAGGGGGAATAATGGGATTGTTGGGGCCGGGCACACATCGTAAAGATCCCGGGATAAGCGTTCCCGGTACGGATCCCGGGATAAGCGTTCCTGGGATAAGCGTTCCCGGGATAAGCGTTCCCGCTTTTCCCGCGGGGGGTTTATGGCGCGGTGGGGGAGCGCTCCCGGGGCTCATTAGCGCTAATTGCCCTCATCAGCCACGAGCGCTTATCGGAGACGCGGGGCCGGGCGGGAGCGGGGTATCCATGGAGCGGGACTGGGAATGGGATATGGGATTGGGAATGGGATTGGGAATGGGACGGGGCCGGATATATGGGATATGGGATATGGGAATGGGGTATGGGATAAGGGAATGGGGTATCCATGGAGCGGGGCCGGATATATGGGATATGGGATTGGGAATGGGGTATGGGATTGGGAATGGGGTATCCATGGAGCCGGGGGATTGGGATATGGGATTGGGGTATGGGATATGGGATATGGGGTGTGGGATAAGGGAATGGGGTATCCATGGAGCGGGGGGATTGGGATATGAGATTGGAAATGGGGTATGGGATGGGATTGGGAATGGGATATGGCATTGGGAATGGGATATGGGATTGGGAATAGGGTATCCATAGACCGGGGTGGGATTGGGATATGGGATTGGGGTTGGGATTGGGGTATGGGATTGGGAATAGGGTATCCATAGACCAGGGTGGGATTGGGATATGGGATTGGGATTGGGAATGGGGTATGGGATTGGGATTGGGATTGGGGTATGGGATTGGGAGTGGGGTATGGGATATGGGATTGGGAATGAGGTATCCATGGAGCAGGGTGGGATATGGGATTGGGAATGGGGTATGGGAATGGCAATGGGGAATCCATGGAGCAGAGAGCTTTTCCCAGGATGGGATCTGGGAATGGAGGGGGTGGGATATGGGATTGGGAATGGGGTATGGGATAAGGGAATGGGAATGGGGTATGGGATTGGGACTGGGGTGTGGGATATGGGATTGGGAATGAGGTATCCATGGAGCAAGGTGGAACTGAGATCAGGAATGGGATATGGGATTGGGAATGGGGTATGGGAATGGCAATGGGGTATCCATGGAGCAGAGAGCTTTTCCCAGGATGGGATCTGGGAATGGAGGATCCTTGGCAATTCCTAAATGAGATTTGGGAATCGCAAAAGAGGATCTGGCAATCCCAAACCGGATTTGGCAATCCCAAACTGGATCTGCCCCTCTCCATCCCAAATTTCCTCTTGGAGATCCCATTTCTGGGGAGGAAACGCTGGATTTGGGGCTGGCAGACCCCTGAAATCCAGGGATTTCACCAAAGCAGGAGCGGGCTGGGGTTTTCCATGGCAAAAATGGGAATTTGGGTGTTTCCATGGAATCAGGGCTGGAGCGGCCCCATTAATGCCCTGATGCAGAAATGTTTAATTGCCATTAATGTCAATATTTTCCGAGGTGATTTCCCGCTGGGAATTGCCCCAGGGCCCGCCTGGGTTTCCTGGTTACCCTCTGGAACCGGGATAAAAACGGCCCCGAGCGGCCCCGGGGCTGCAGAGCCCCGGGAGTCCGCACAGGGAGGTGAGAAATGCTGGGAGAATGGGATTTCTGGGGGAAAAAACGGGAATTCACTGGGGAAAATGGGTTCGGCCGGGAGGGGGAGGATGCAATCGCATCCCGAGCTTGCCGCGTGCTGCAGGTGCTGCAGTCCCGGCGATCCCGGTGATCCCGACGTTGTCCCGGCGATCCCGAGGGAATTCCGCCCCGCAGGATGGCCCTGAGGGCGCTGCGGGCGCTGCCGCTGCTGCTGGCCGGGCTGGGCGTGGTGTGCGCGGAGGAGAGCGCGGGGTGAGCGGGGACCGGGACCGGGACCGGCTCCTGGGAACCGGGAACTGCCCCGGGGTCAGCGGGGACCGAGACCGGGACCGGGACCGGGAACCGGGAGCCTCCTCCTGTCCCCCGGGGCCGTTCCCGGACCGGGAACGGCTCCTGGGAACGGCCCCGGGGTGAGCAGGGACCGGGACCGGGAACGGGACCGGGAACCGGGAGCCTCCTCCTGTCCCCCGGGGCCGTTCCCCTGGGTTCGGGGCGGATTCCCTGGATTCGGGAGCTGATCCCATGGGTTCGGGGCGGATTCCCGGGATTCGGGGCGGGATCCCCGGGCTCTCTCAGCCCATCCCGCGGGACCGGCCCTCGCCCGTGCCGCTGTCCGTCTGTCCCCGTGTTCCTGTATCCCGCGGTCCCCCTGTCCCCCTGTCCCTCGTTCCCGGTCCCATCCCGGCCGTTCCCGGTGCCATCCCGGCCGTTCCCGGTGCCAGCCCGGCCGTTCCCGGTCCCATCCCGGCCGTTCCCGGTGCCAGCCCGGCCGTTCCCGGTGCCAGCCCGGCCGTTCCCCAGCCCGGCCGTTCCCGGTCCCATCCCGGCCGTTCCCGGTTCCATCCCCGCCGTTCCCGGTGCCAGCCCCGCCGTTCCCGGTTCCCCGCGCCGCCGTTACTCGGAGGCCACGCTGGCCAGCGACTACAGCCGCACCATGGACCACGTGCTGCGCAGGAACTTCGTGGAGTGGCTGCTGGCCCGGCGCGAGAGGAAAAGGCAGTGAGCCCCCAAATCCCAAATCCTGAAATCCCAAACCCCCCAATTCCCCAATTCCTGAATCTCTGAATCCCCCAATTCCCACATTCCCCAAATCCTGAATCCCCAAACTCCCCAATTCCCGAATCTCCGAATTCCCCAATTCCCACATCCCCTCAATTCCCCAATCCCCAATTCCCCAATTCCCAAATTCCCAGTTTCCCCAAATCCTGAATCCCCAAACTCCCCAATTCCCGAATCTCCGAATTCCCCAATTCCCACATCCCCTCAATTCCCCAATCCCCAATTCCCCAATTCCCAAATTCCCAGTTTCCCCAAATCCTGAATCCCCAAACTCTCCAGGTCCCAAATTCCCCAATCCCTGAATTCCCCAATTCTTCAATTCTCACATTCCTCAACTCCCACATTCCCCAATTTCTGAATCCCCAAATTCCCCAATCCCCAAATCCCCCAATTCCTCAGTTCCCAAATTCCCAGTTTCCCCAGTTCCTGAATCCCCAGTTCCCCCATAACAGAATCCCCAATTCCTCAATTCCCAAATTCTCCATTTTCCTGATTCCTGAATTCCCCAATTCCCAAATTCCTGAATCCCCAATTCCAGAATCCCCAATTTCCAGAGTCCCCAAACCCCCAATTTCCAGAATCCCCAAATCCCCAATTTCCAGAATCCCCAAATCCCCCCAATTCATGAATTCCCCAAATTCCTGAATACCCCAAATTTCCAATTTCCTGAATTCCCCAACTCCAAATATCCCCAATTTCCCAAATTCCTGAATCCCCAATTCCAGAATCCCCAAATTCCCCAACTCCCCCATTCCCAAACTCCAAAATCCCCAATTCTTGAATCCTCAAATCCCCCAATTCCAGAATCCCCAATTTCCAGAATCCCCAAGTCCCCAATTTCCAGAATCCCCAATTTCCAGAATTCCCCAAATCCCAAAATTCCCGAATTCCCCAACTCCCCCATTCCCAAAATCCCCAATTCTTGAATCCCCAAATTCCCCAATTCCAGAATCCCCAAATTCCCGAATCCCCGAACCCCCAAAATCCCAAATTCCCAAATCCCATTCCCAGCAGCCCGGCTGTTTCCCCCTGGGACAACCCCGCCTTTGGGATTTTCCCATTTTTTTCCCCAAATCCTTTCCCGGGAGCGGGGTGGGGATTTGGGAAAAGCGGGATTCTGGCACCCTCTGCCGGAATTTTGGGATTTTCCCTCTTTTCCTTCCCCAGCGACAGCGCGGAGCTGCTCAGGAGGGAGGCCCAGACCCCAAAAGGGGCCGGGGAGGGGCAGAAATCCCATTTGGGAATTGCGGGAGCCCCAGGGCTCCTGGGATGGCCTGGGAAAAACCGGGAACAGCAGAGGTGAGGGGAAGGGGGATTTGGGGTTGTGGGGATTTGGGGGGGGTTTTATGGAAATTCAGGGGATTCTTGGGGTTTTTATGGAAATTTGGGGGATTTTTTATGGAAATTCAGGGGATTTGTGGGGTTTTTATGGAAATTTGGGGGATTTTTTTTGTGGAAATTTGGGGGATTTGTGGGGTTTTTATGGAAATTTGGGGGATTTTTTTGTGGAAATTTGGGGAATTTGTGGGGTTTTTATGAAAATTTGGGGGATTAGGGGGTTTTTTTATGGAAATTGGGGAGATTTGGGGTTTTTTTAATAGAACTCAGGGGTTTGTAGGGTTTTTAATGGAAATTGGGGGGATTTGGGGTTTTTTTAATGGATTTTGGGGATTCAGGGGGATTTGTTGGGTTTTGCACGGAAATTCAGGGTATTTTGGGGTTTCTTTTACATAATTTGGGGGATTTCTTTGGTTCTTTTACAGAATTTGTCGCTTTTTTGGGTGCTTTGTACAGAATTTGGGGACCCGCTGGGTTTTGTACAGAATTTTTTGTACAGAATTTTTTGCACAGAATTTTTTGTACAGGCTTTTTTTTGCTGCTGTTTTTTGAGGATTTTCAGAGGATTTTGGGGCCAAACCCTCAGAAAACCCCACCCCAGGATTCCCAAAACCCAAAGAATTTCCCCATTTCCAGAGGAAATTCAACATTTTGGGGTTTTTAACCCAGCAGGAAACATTTAAACCTCTGTGAATTCAGGGCTGGGAGAAGGGGCTGCTAAAACCGGGGAATTTTTCTCCCCTTTAATTCTGTTTTCACTGAATTTTTGGGGTTTTTTTTTGCAGTTTTCCAGCTCTGGAGGGCTCCGAGGGCCTGAGGGAATTCCTGGAGCAGGAATTCCTGGCGTGGCTGATGTCGGGCGAGCTCTGCAGGGCCACGTGAGTCCCTGGAAACCCCAAAAAACCCCCAAAATTTAGGTGTTTTATTTTTTTTTTTTTTTTTGGGATGGCATTCCCAGAGAAAGCTCGGGGGAATTTTTAGGAATTTGGGGTTTTTTTCCCTGCCAGGGCTGCGTAGCTCCAGGATTTCCATGGAATTCCCACAGGCACGGCGGGAGCAGGAATTTACCCACGGTGAAATAAAGGAGCAATAATAACAATAATAACAATAAAAAATAAAAATAAAGGAGTTATTAAATAATTATAAAGGAGTTTAGTCCAGTTCCCTGACCCCAAATCCCCTGGGAAGGGTTCTTGTTCCATTCCCTGACCCCAAATCCCCTGGGAAGGTCCCTGACCCCAAATCCCCTGGGAAGGTCCCTGACCCCAAATCCCTGACCCCAAATCCCCTGGGAAGGTCCCTGACCCCAAATCCCTGACCCCAAATCCCCTGGGAAGGTCCCTGGTTCCATTCCCTGACCCCAAATCCCCTGGGAAGGTCCCTGACCCCAAATCCCCTGGGAAGGTCCCTGACCCCAAATCCCCTGGGAAGGTCCCTGACCCCAAATCCCCTGGGAAGGGTTCTTGTTCCATTCCCTGACCCCAAATCCCCTGGGAAGGTCCCTCTCCTGCTCTCAGCTGCTGGGAGAACTCCACAGATCCTGCTCTGGCCCCACAAAACCTTCCCCGGTCCCACAAATCCTTTTTGATCCCACAGAACCTTCTCTGATCCCAAAAAAACCTTTCCTGGCCCCACACATCCTGCTCCGGTCCTACAGAAACTTCTCTGGCCCCACAGAACTTTGCCAGATCCCACGGAACATTTCTGCTCCCACAGAGCCCTCCCTGATCCCACAGAACCCTCTCTGATCCCAAAAACCCTTCCCTGATCCCACAGAACCCTCTCTGATCCCAAAAACCCTTGCCTGATCCCCCAGAACCCTCTCTGATCCCAAAAACCCTTCCCTGATCCCACAGACCCCTGATCCCAAAAATCCTTCCCTGAGCCAACAAACCCTTTCTGCTCCCACATTCCCCGGCCCCACAAACCCTTCCCAGATCCCACAAACCCTTTTTGATCCCACAAACCCTTCCCAGATCCCACAAACCCTTTTTGATCCCACAAACCCTATCTGCTCCCTCATCCCTTTCCGCTCCCACAGACCCTTTTTGATCCCACAAACCCTTCCCAGATCCCACAGACCCTTTCTGACCCCTCACCCCTGTCCGCTCCCACAAACCCTTTTCGGTCCCACAGACCCTTTTCGGTCCCACAGGCCCTTTTCGGTCCCACAGACCCTTTCCGCTCCCACAAACCCTTTTCGGTCCCACAGACCCTTTTCGGTCCCACAGACCCTTTTCGGTCCCACAGACCCTTTCCGCCCCCACAGACCCTTTTTGGCCCCACAGACCCTTTTCGGTCCCACAGACCCTTTCCGCTCCCACAGACCCTTTTCGGTCCCACAATCTCTGTCCGCCTCCTCCTCCCTCGGCACTTTCCCCCATCCCCAACTCTCCCTCAGGAGCCACGGGCCCCGCCCTTTCCCGCCCACCTCCAGATTGACAGCTGCCTCACCCAATCAGCGAGCGCCCACCCTCCTCAACCCACCAATCACCGCCCGCGCTCCCCGCCCCTCCCCTCCCGCCATCCCCGGATGCGGGGAGGCGGGGTTTCCTCGGGGCTCGGCCAATGGGGAGGGCGGGCGCGGGCGCGCGCGCGCGGCGGCAGCCAATGGGCGCGGAGGACGCCGGCGGGGACACGGCCAAGGTGACGCTGCCCACAGAGCCGCCGCCACCCCCGGCCGCAGCCGCGGGCCCGGCCCGTGCTCGCTGGGGTGGTGCCCTTCGGTGCCCGGCGGGCGGTGCGGCCTGCGCCGCCCTCGGGGGGTCGTGAGGGAGGAGATGGCCGGGGCGGGCACCGAGCGGGGACGAACGGGGAAAGGAGGGAGGGCACGGAGCGTGCGAGGGCTGAGGGGACGGCCGGGGCACGGAGGGGACGGGGGCAGAGCCTCGGGACACGGTGGGGTTAAAACCCTGGGGACGTGATGGGGACAAAGCCTTGGGGACAAAACCCTGGGGACACGGTGGGGTTAAAGCCTCGGGACACGGTGGGGTTAAAACGTTGGGGACGTGATGGAGTTAAAGCCTTGGGGACAAAGCCGTGGGGACAAAACCTTGGGGACACAGGGGGGTTAAAGCCCTGGGGGCACGGTGGGGTTAAAGCCTTGGGACACGGTGGGGTTAAAGCCCCGGGGACATTTGGGGACACGTGGGGTTAAAGCCCCGGGGACACGGCAGGGTCAGTGGGACACAGCCCTGGGGACACAGCCCTGGGGACAGCCTTGGAGCTCAGCCCTGGTGTGACCCCGGGGTGGCCGGTGCCAGCAGCATGGGAATCCCGTTGCTGTTGGTTCTTGGTTGATGATTTATTTATGATTTTTGTGGGGTTTTTTGCTGCAGATCCAGCAAGATGCAGGCTCCCGTGGCTCTCCTCAGCTCCCCAGCGCTGGTAGGTCCTTCCCTGGCCGGGCCGGGGGAATTCCCGGCGGGGATTTGGGATTTGGGGGATTTGTGCCCTCCTGCTGGCCCCGCTGGGATCCCGGCGGGGTTTGAGGAGGAAGGGAACAAGGTGACCTCTGGGGACAGCATGTGAGTGCTGGCACTGGGCTGCAGCCCCAGGAACTCCCAGCAGGAGCTCCCAGCAGGGATTCCCACTCAGGAATCCCTTCCTTTCCAGGAGGAAAACGGGGGGAAAACGGCAATAATGGGATTTGTGGGGCTGGCACCCAGCCTGGGCCGTGTGGGATTGATCCAGGGGGCTGAGACACGAGCTCCCTCCATTGAGAACCCTTTGTTTCCCAGTTTTGGGTCACATCTGGGGTGTTCTGGGGGGTTTCGGTGCTCCGTGAGGGGTGGGGTGCGGCTCTGTGCCCCGGGGTGGCTGCAGGGTCGGGTGGGGCTGAGGGGCTGGGCTGGCCCGGTGTCCCAGCTGTCCCTGTCCTGTCCCCGCAGCTCCGCTGCTGCTCCAGGGCCCTGGCCAGGCCCGTGTCCGTGGCTGTGTTCAGCAGGCCTGAGGAGAGCGCGCAGGTGAGAGCGTGGAGGCCCATCCTCATCCTCATCCTTCATCCCCATCCTCATCCTGATCCCTCATCCCCATCCTGGATCCTCATCCTGATCCCTCATCCTTCATCCTGCTCCTTCATCCCCATCTTGCTCCTTCATCCTGATCCTGACCCCGATCCCTCTTCTTCATCCTGATCCTGACCCCAATCCCTCTTCTTCATCCTGATCCTGCTCCTTCATCCTCGTCCTTCATGCTTCATCCTGATCCCTCATCCTCATCCTCATCCTGATCCTTCATCCTCATCCTGATCCCTCATCCCCATCCTGATCCCTCATCCCCATCCTGCTCCTCATCCTCATCCTGATCCTTCATCCCCATCCTGATCCCTCATCCTCATCCCCATCCTGATCCCTCATCCCCATCCTGCTCCTCATCCTCATCCTGATCCTTCATCCCCATTTTCCATCCTCATGCTGTTGATCAGGACTAACGCTCCCCTCCCCATGCTGGGTGCCAGCCCTGAGGTGTCCCTGGCTGTCCCTGATGTGTCCCTGATGTGTCCCCGTGTCCCTGCTGTGTCCCCAGGTGTCTGTGGCCCCATGTCCCTGAGCTGTCCCTGCTGTGTCCCCAGGTGTCTGTGGGCGCGCAGCCCCGGCGGCAGTTCCGCGGCACCGCGCTGTCCCTGTCCCCGTGTCCCTGGTGTGTCCCTGGTGTGTCCCTGTGTCCCTGATGTGTCCCTGCTGTGTCCCTGTGTCCCCAGGTGTCTGTGGGCGCGCAGCCCCGGCGGCAGTTCCGTAGCACCGCGCTGTCCCTGTGCCCTGTCCCTGCTGTGTCCCTGGTGTGTCCCCGTGTCCCTGGTGTGTCCCTGGTGTGTCCCCCTGTCCCTGGTGTGTCCCTGGTGTGTCCCCCTGTCCCTGGTGTGTCCCTGGTGTGTCCCCGTGTCCCTGATGTGTCCCTGTGTCCCCAGGTGTCTGTGGGCGCGCAGCCCCGGCGGCAGTTCCGCAGCACCGCGCTGTCCCGGGACATCGACACGGCCGCCAAGTTCATCGGGGCCGGCGCCGCCACCGTGGGCGTGGCGGGCTCGGGGGCGGGGATCGGCACCGTGTTCGGGAGCCTCATCATCGGCTACGCCAGGTGTGGGGCCGGGAACGGGAACGGGAACGGGAATGGGAACGGGAACGGGAATGGGAACGGGAGCGGGAACGGGAGCGGGAACGGGAACGGGAACGGGAATGGGAATGGCAACGGGAACGGCAACGGCAACGGGAACGGGAACGGGAACAGCAACGGGAACGGGAATGGGAACGGGAACGGGAACGGGAGCGGGCCTTCCCCGGGGCTGGGGCTTCCCCGGGGCTGGGGCCTTTCCCCGGGGCTGGGGCCTTTCCCGGGATTTGGGACCTTTCCCCAGGATTTGGGGCCATTCCCAG